ATGTGGGCAATTACAGGTAGTCAAATATTTGATGGATTTTGACAATGTTGATGTCAATGCTAAGGGAACAAGACGTAAATCAACACCGTTTGAGGTGGCAGTAGAATATGGATCTGTACAGGTTGTGAAGTACATGATTGAAGTTGAGAACTGCTACAATCCAGCCAAATATGAAGGCTCCAACACACCGTTACATTTCGCTGCTAGCAGAGGAAATTTGCCAGTAGTAAAATATCTAATCGGAAACCGAGGGTTTGATGTCAATGTGAAAGGTTTCAATCACTGGACTCCACTTCACTCTGCGTGTCATAAAGTATTAATTGATGGAGAACGAACGTACCAATCTTGATGCTAAAGATTCAAACGCCACTTAATTTAGCAGCAGCATACAACACTACTGTGTAAAAAAATGCTATCATCCATTCAAGTACCATGGTGTCAACACACCACTACATTCAGCTGCGTACCAAGCAAACTTGTCTGTAGTTTGATATCTTGTTGAAGAAAGAGGCTTTGATGTCAATAGAAAAAGTTAGCATGACTGGACTCCACTTCACTGTGCATGTTGGAATGGACAATTAGAGGTGGTAAAGTATTTGATGGAGAATGAAGGTATCAATGTTAATGCTAAAGATTCAAAATATGGATCAACGCCACTTGATTTAGCAGCAGCATACAACACAACTGTGGATGTTGTTAAATACATGATTGAAGATAAAAAATGCTATAGTCCACCCAAGTTACATGGTTTCAACACGCCACTTCATTCAGCTGCGTACCAAGGAAACTTGTCAGTAGTTCGATATCTTGTTGAAAACATTGGGTTGAATGTCAAAGTGAGAGTTTAGAGAACCGAACGCCACTTCATGCTGCATGTCGAGGAGGACATTTGGATGTAGTTAAGTATTTAATAGGGGAAAGTAAAATGGCTGAAGATGAATATTATGGTCAAACTCCTCTTCATTTAGCTGCTGAATATGGAACCTTGGAAATTGTTCAGTTCATGGTTGATGAGAGAAATTTTGAATTTTCAAGTGAGAAAGGATACACACCACTTCATTGTGCTGCCCGTGGTGGAAAACTGGACATTGTTAAATATCTTATTGAAAAAAAAGGTTATAACCCAAACGGGTATTTAAGCAGAACTCCGCTTAATTCAGCATGTCATGGTGGTAAATATGATATGGTTGAGTACCTGATAAGAGAATGTGGTGTTGATCCATCATTACGTGATGACCATGGTAATACTTCACTTCATTCTGCTGTGTATAGTGGTCAAATATCTATTGTCGAATTGTTGGTTGCTGAATTCGACAATGAGAATGATGCTTTTGATAATCGTGTAAGAGATGCGGCATCTTTTGCAAAAGAAAAAGGCCACAAAGACATCTTCATCTTCCTGGAAAATTCCAAAAGGCTACATCAGGGTAAGTTGGTAAAATAATAGTAGGAAGCCTTTGCCCGAGAAACTTAATTATTTTTCAAGGGGAATCCTAAGACCTATAAATATTTCCTGCTTGTTGGGTGTGCAGCGGTGCATTTCCGTGTTCACTGTCCAGTAGGAGGACATGCCACATCACTGTCACAGAAGCTGCATACGCATCCTCAGCCATGTGCAGTTCTCTTATAATTTGGTCACAGTTAAAGAGCTATGGGTGTATGACAAAGATGCACCATAGCATATTTTATGGAGTATGGGCCAGATATCCCTACATTCCATCCACTATGATCATGAGTGGATTCTCACTTTCAGAACTGCCAATTTGGGAATATTAATTGCTATATAGAGGGAGCCCATCAGTGATTGTGTAGAGTTTATATGTGAATCATGTGTCATTCTGTGTAATCTCTAGAATACCTCATATTTTACCTCCCCTTAGATCCCTTTAGAGGAGGAGTTTGACAACAACAAAAGCCATACGGACTGGAAAAGTGATAGCTACTGGATCATTCAGCTCCATCGTTGAGTTAAAAATCTCTGCCACTGGCGAGAAAGTCGCAGGAAAAGTCTTTGAAATTTCCTCAGACACCAAAACATCGATTAATGCTAAGGCAATAATACAAGAAGTTGAAATAATAAAAAAATTGTCCCATGCAAATATTGTTGAGATTAAAGGAGTGTGTATTCTGCCAGATAACATTTTGCCAGTTACTTTGATTACAAAAATGAAGCATAGCCTACAAGCTTATTTTCAACATCATCCATTTTCGCTTTCAATGCAACAAAGTATTGTAATTTTACAAGACACAGCTAGTGGATTAAACTACCTTCACAGTCTGGACCCTCAGTTCATTCACGGACACCTTACAGCAGAGAATATCCTACTAGATGCTAGGTTGAGAGCTAAGATTGGAGTCTTTGCTATTGAGTCCAACTTACATCACCTAAATCCAGAGTGCATGCCCCTCGAAGCTGAGGAAGATAGTGATTCAAGTCTGAATATTTTCTCGTTTGGGCATTTAGCTCTTGTCACTATACTTAAAGAAAAAGTAGGACTACTTCCTTCACACTCTGTGAATGAAGCTGGCAAGCGCAGTAGGCAACAGGAGGTTGACAGACAAGCTAGATTCATGCAAAAAGCCAGAAAGTTGATAGCAAAGGAAAATGGTGAAATAATGGTTACCATCCAACAGTGCCACCGAAATAACCCAGCAGAGAGACCTAACATAATGCATGTTCTGGAAACACTGCATAGAGCAAGTTTGTTTATTTTTTCTTGTAGGCAAATTGTACCACTGTTTTCCTTCTTACAGATAAAGATGCCGTTACTTCTAAACCAATAGATACTTATGAGGACAGTAAGTTTATATATATAATATATATACAAATTCTTTTTTCGAGATTACTGCACTTTTTGTTATGTAGTGAGCACTGAACAAGCTGAATCTGTTGTTAAAGAAATGTTACAGAAGGAAGGAAAATTTAAGCAAAAAAATTTGGTGGTGGTCCTGACAGGTTTAATGGAGGCTGGTAAAACAACACTTCTGCATCAATTGTTTGGTAAGGACCTCAACAGATACAACAGCACAGGTATAGCTGAAAGGTCTTTGCGAGGTCTAACACAATACCTGTGTAGTGCAGATAAAGAGTTACGACTTGTTGAGAATCCTAAAGACATGTTTGACCTCGTAGCTAGGGTCAAAATGGTGCCTTCTGTAAAAAGTATTGATTCTGAAGTTTCAAACACAACTGAAGATGAAAAACACAATGCAAAAGCAAGAACAACAGTAAACCAAATAACAGATAGCAAAGAAAGGGACACTACTATAGTTACATGTAGTACAGCCAAAGTTACTGAAGAAGGAAAAAGCGTAAATGTAGCAATGACACAAGTGAGTCTTAGTGAAGTCCAAAATAAGCCACATTCCTTAAAGAAATCGTTCGTCAGAATCCAGACACATATTATGGTGAACTGGAGCTTGTGCACATGATTGATACAGGTGGGCAGCCAGAATCTCTTGAGGTACTTCCTTCCTTGATTCACAACGCAGATCTCGTACTTCTCGTTGTAAACCTATCATATTGTCTTGAAGAATCTACTACGCCCACTTTCCATAAACATGGCCGAAAGTTTACTAAAAAGAATCTACTAACATGTAACGAACAAATCATTGAGCAACTTGCAAAGACAATGTCAGCAAAAACTGAGGCAAACAAGAGTGACTCAAAAATCCTTGTTATTGCTACTCACAAGGATAAAGTCAGAGACGTTGATATACCAAAGAAGTTGAACGACTTAGTGCGGGGAATTTTCCCCTTCTCATGTGTTATACGACGAATGAAGGTTCAAGAGTGTATTTTATGTAAATTTACTTGATCCTGATAAAGAGACCTTACCTCGAATACGCCAAACTATTTTACAAAAAGTTAAAAGTATGGAGGAAGATAGGATTCTATACTTGTCCCCATCATTTGTCTTGTTCGAGTATGAAGCTATGGTTTACGTGAAAGAACTGAAAGAGAAAGGAGAAAGAAAAGTTGATGTATTGAAGTTGGAAGAATGTGTTGAAATTGGAGAAAGACTTGGTATGGAGGAAATCACAGTTAAAGCTGCCCTAACATACTTTCATAAGAACAACATCTTCTTGTTTTTTAAAGAAATGGGCTCCGGAATTGCATTTTTTGATCCCCAAAATTCTTATTCACTTTGTTAACGCTTTAGTTCGATTCAGTTATATGTATATTGATGGAAACAGAGATGGAGATGAAGATACTTTACTTCCAATACTAACAGAATCTGAGATACAATCTCTCAGCAATGGAATAATCACAGAGGGCCTTTTGAAGAATTCATATCTAGAGGACAACTTTGTACCTGGTCTCTTTGAAGCTAGTCATGCTATTCAAATTTTTAAGAAACTCTACACCATAGCCGAGCAGCCTCAAAAACCAGGTCGGGAACCAAAATACCTTATGATGTGCTTGCTTCCACGATTATCACCAGATGAGTTTAAAACTAGGAGGAACTCTCTATTGACAATGAATCCCAAACCACTATGTGTAGACTTTGGCGTAGACCAACCCCCTGATTGGGAATTATGCTGCTCCCCCAGTGGAAGCTTTGGCAACACTATTGCTTGCCTCATGTCCAAATATTCATGGAAAACAGTTGAATACGAAGAACCTGCGTGCTTGTATCACAATATGGCCATGCTCCGTCCAAGTCAAACGAGCTTAGAAGTAACTCTGGTTGACAAGACCAAAGCATTTTGAAGTGTATGAAAATGATGCTGATGAGCAGGAGTATGAGTTCCTTAAAAAAGTACGGAGTCAGATAGTCAGTGCAGTTAGAGAAATCTTGGGGAAAATGCAAATAAAATTGAATGTTGCAGAAGGTAATTGCCACGGGAAACAACATAAACTGTATTTGACAAGTGGCTCTACCAAATATTTTAGAGAGTGCCATATGTGTGAATGGCTGCAAAAAATCACCAGAAAGTTTTTGGGTTAAAAAGCAAGGTATGGTTTTGCAATAATTATATATACTCCACGATCTTATAACTGATTTCCACAGGTTTAACATCAGAATTGAAGAATGAAACACAGTGTGGGGATACTGGAGCAGTGACATCAAACCTAATCGGTGAGTTATCACAATCAGCTGTACTGTAATCAGAGTGTCTTATTGCCCTACAGACATTGATGACTTATTTGATGCAAAGAGAGAGTTGCAGCCACAAATTATCAAAGGGAAACACATTGGAACTGCCCTCAGACTGGATCCTAACCAACTGAAGAAGATAGAAGGAGGTCTTGATGACTGTTTGATTGACATGCTGACTATGTGGCTGAATAAGAACTACAACACTGAGAGATTTGGGGAACCATCATGGGAGCTACTGGCCAAAGCAGTTGGTGATCCTGCTGGAGGGAATAACTCACGACTTGCTGACGAAATTCGTCAAAGACACAGTAAACACACTCTAATAATAATACATCTGTTCACTATGTCATTTTGCCAACAACTGCAGCAGTAATATAATATAGACCCATTGAGAACAGTAATGGCAAGTTCGCTGCTACCTTACTATATTAAACGTTTTCTTCTCTTTTTCAGGAGCTCCACTTTCGCATGAGCTACGCAAGCAGTACACATTATTTTTAAAACAACGTATGTATAGGCAGCACACATCATTCTATTACAATGTAAAGCCAGAGCTACTTATAAGTGCTATACAATTAATAATATTTTGTGCGAGGTGCTATAGCAAGTTTATAGAGATGACAGTGAGCACATTTGGAGGTCAGGGTATGTCCCCACAAACACAATTGGCTGCCCCGTGATGTAGGTCATGGATATTGCGGCTCCCTCCTGTGGGACAGAAGGGGCATTAAGAAGGTCACCAAAGACTGAATATTTCCGCATCTCAATACGTTTCTGTTATGCTTTTGCATGCATTAAAACACTTCGGACCCCACCCTTTTGACGCCATGGGTATCTCCTTAAAATATAAGCAGAAATGTATGTGTCTATGGAGGCTCTGGATAGATTTCTATGTCCATGGCCTGCTAAGGGTTAATATACAAACACAGTAAAATATTTATACGGAGGCTCTGGGGACACATTTTTTGTCCATGGCTGGCTAGGTGTTGAGCATGGCAATGCTTTATTCTCTATTTAACTTCCTACCACACCCTCTCGGATTATTCAGAGAGAGTGTTGGCCCAGTGCACACACTCAGATTAATCCTGCATTCAAATGTATATAGTGGTATGCACACTTAATGAACTGTACTCATGCATGTACCTAACGAAAATAAACCCAGTCAGTTTCTCTGAAAGTATTATTAAACAGACCTTGTCGTTGACTGTGTGAGGGGGATTCGTCAATGGTGTGAGGACCGCTGTCCTGAGAGTGGTCCACAAGGGCCTAGTTGAAGTCGAGCAGGTGGTCTATTGCCTCATTCCCCCACCAGAGCCTCTCCCACAAACAACGCCAGGTCTGGGGAGTTGATCCGGATCAACTAGTGGAGGAGAGTGGGATGGAGGGAGAAAGAAGAAAACCAGCTTCATGCAGCCACTGTTAAATAAGACATAGTTACTGTTTGCCGGAATTAAGCAGTACTTTTGAAGGCATTCGTAAGCCAATAAATCTGGCATGTCTTTCAAACTCTTTTTCCATGTACATACATGCATTCCCCAGTTCGACAGCACTCTAAAGGCCATGATACATGATGCACTCTGTTTTGTGAGACAAAGTCACATGTAACTTCAAATGGATGGGAATAATACAACATGCAACATGTTGGTACAAAATATTTCATGTACCATGTGTCCCGTTTGATGACCTCAACATGTGTTTGCAGTACACGTCAACATACGCTGGTCCAACAGACCTGGCATGAGCCCTTATGAGTGGCTCATTATCCAGCATTCTACCTGCAGTGTCCACTAGGACCACATGTGGCGCATTTGATGGCCTTCATAGCTATAATTATGGGCAGCATCTTTCATGTCCCCTCTCATAGAAGAGGGGAGAGGGAGATAAAAGATAAATCGAAGGAAAAAGGAAAGAGATAAGGGGAGAAGATAAACAGAGGGAAGAGGGGAGAAGTAGAGTGGGAAAATAGGGTGAGGGTGACAAAAGGAAGGAAGGAAAAAGGAAAATCCCAGACTCAGACAAAGGTGGTCTTCCTCAATCCCTCGAAGAAGGAAATAATACATCATTATTAAACCAACAACGAACAAAGCTCTACCCCACAATAGAGGAGGAGATAGACAAAGGCAAACCTCAAACCACTGTGCAATGGCACAGTACTCTCTCACTCACGGTGTAGGGGCAGGCCAGGGTAATTACACCAACCAAGACGCCCAACTCCAAACTGTGCATGCGTCATCAATAACCCAAACCAAAAAAAATTATAATAGCAGCAGACATGCCTAAAAAGCCCACCCCCCTCCCCCACACCCTGAGAACAAGGCTTGCTGAGATGAACCTCCTCACTGGACAGATTTACTTGAGTGCCATATCTTGTGAAAAAATGACTGTGATAATTCGAACAGTCACTTCCTATTCCATTTGACAGAAGTACACATGGTACAGAAGCGTTAGCATTGCAGAGTACATTTATGATCTGTAAAACTCATACCCATCCCACTGTGACCCAATCAATACATTTATGTGGTCACCACAGTAACGATACAAAATTCAACAGCTTTTTATGAGGTGCCTGTCAGTGAATACATAGTTGCCACAGCAACGCAATGGCTTTCATATGAGAAGGGTCTAAACACACCTCAGTGTCTCCATAATACTCCATGTATAGAGAAATAGGAACTAAACCTTCAACTATGAATTCTTTACCAAAGTGATATAATATTATAGCAGCGCAGTCAGTACTAGTGCAAATTTCAGTTAAGTTAGGTGATGAGTGGGGAGCATATGGAACCGAATGTTAGCTCACAAGAAAAGGTCGTAGAGAGAATCAAGTGGTCAGAACTGAGTGATGGCGAAAAGAAAAAGATAAGGACTGAAGTATTGGAGGCAATACTAAATGGAGAGATCAGCAAAGTCAAAGCCCTCATAAGGAAATACAACGGTTTGAAACTTGCCTACTATAATTATGATGGCTTTAAAGTGCAGGAATGTATGCAAAATAATGAGGAAGGAGATAATCCACTTCACCTGGCAGCATTCCATGGTCACCTGCAGATAGTGAAGTATCTCATTGAGCAAGGTTACTGTGAAAGTGAATGTAGGAACAGATATAAGAATACTCCTCTCAATAGAGCAGCAATACAAGGAAAATTGGAGGTTGTTAAGTACCTCATTGAGGAAGTTAAGTGTGATCCAATGTGT